TACAGATGGCTCAGTGGTTAAGGCACGAACTTACTGACCGGAAGGTCCTATCGCAACCCTTGCATCTCGACTTATTCTGCCTACGCTTGAGCGACCTGAGGATATCTCAGCCCTCGTGTTCTTTCGGATGGTATGGCAGCTGGGAATCGAAAGGGTGTTGAAGCTCAATAAATTTTATTTTTTTTTATTGTTAGTTACAGAGAACCTAGGTGTCACCTATGTGGTGCCAATAGTGATGGAAGTTACTCACAACGATTTCAGTGAGGAAAACATGACGTGACGCCCCACTGAGGGGAAGGTATTTCTTTAGTAGTGCAATACCGTTGGTGGAGTTTGTGGATACTTACGAAAACCTAGAGTTCTCAGAGGGCGCACCCGCAAACCAACCTTGACTGGTGAAAACGAAACGTCTGTAAGCTAACTGTCAGGCTCGGCGAACGGATCAACAACTACCTGAACAGAAACCGAGCTACCAATAGTTCGACACAACCCTAAAACGTCCCTAAACAGTACACGTGTCAAACAAGTGCCAGTACACTCAGGTGCCTGGGGTTCACAAACCCGAAACATGCGTAATTTGATTGAGCACACGTATGCGCTAGACCACTAATTCGTCGGGTGTGAACTTAGACCATAGAACGATACTTTCACATTTACCAACTAAGAGTAACAAGCTACTCGACATTAGTGGGCCGCATCTAGATGGAGTTCCATTAGGGTAGAAAGAACCACTATTGACGATGTTAAAGTCCACAGCTTCGATGTAGAGCGAGTCAGCACAACTGGAATTTGACCCAATCACACGGAAAGTAGTAAGGCTAACTTACTTATTTGTACCGCACAGAATAAAGCAGTATAATTAGGTACCATCTGAATGTACGCTGGAAGCTAGACTCAAACGAATCACCATCATGGATGATAAGCATTCAGAATTGTTAACAATAATAAACAGCCTGGTGGAACCAAGTTCCCTGTAGGGCTAGATAGGGGGTCGATACCCTCTGCTCTAAGTGTGGGTCTAAACTGCTCGTATGCCCTGATAAGCCAATCAACGATACTTGCCCAATTTACCCACCCAACCATGATGATGATGATGACCAAGCACTCATCCAGATGCATTTAATACCCTTAGGTGACACGAACTTCATTTTTCTGAATACACAAGTGTTGCTTAGAGAAGCTCCTTAGAGTACAGCAGTGTCTTTATAGAGATTACTACGAGCAATGAGTTGCTTGGACTCTTCCGGGGGACTTGTCTCCTTAGCAGGATTCAACGATGGGTGATGACTGGCAGGGTAAGGTGCTGTGGGCTCGACAGGACGACTGGCCTCTCTGAAAAGTTACTGCACATTCTTAGTTTGACAGGATTGACCCGCCCTATCGCTATTAGTTTCGAAAATGTTGTTAAATCACGGTATAAGACCCCACAAAAAAGGCAGACCTTCAGAAGAAAGGTAGATCCCCTTGAACAGCCCACAAAAGCGTTCTTCATTGGACATAAGTTAGTGTCCCAGCCTATGAGGACAGCTACTGAGATGTCTAATAGTGTCCTTTCCGGCAGCAGACTCTCTTCGGAATGGGTACTGAAACGGGTCAATAGATGACAAGCTCTCGGTGTGGAACACATAGATATGACAAGTAATGGCTGTACAAAGACGACTGTTTTAGGAGTATTAGTATTCCTTTCCTTGCTATTATTGCCTCCGCACAAGTTTGGGGGGTTTTGAGCAGTTGGAGCTGTTGGACAATGCCGACTACGGCAAAGGCAATCTGTATTTGTGCAACTTACGGGCGGGCCCAGCTGATTAGAATCGGGCTCGCAGTTCACCAAAGTACACATATTACAGCCCCAGAAACACCGGTGAATCAACTGGATCGGTTTCTATTACTTTTAGCTTATATCTGCCAATCGTAAGCCATCTCCAATTTCTACTTATATCAACCACCAACCCACCGCTACGCACTACTACGCTCCACAAAAACGCACTGATGATGTCACCTCGATTGGTGATGAAACGTTTGCAATCAAATTGCCCAGCTCAGGGAACAAGCAAAGACCGATACCTGAGCTACCAGCATTTTCCTCTACTTATATCTGCCCGAATACTGTCATGCTACAAGATGACACTGCTCTCACGTTTCCTCAGTAGTACATAACGTTACGCCAGTAGTAATCCAATCAATGATGTGTCGCCGAACTATCCATTCGCACATAAGAGATATCCCTCAGAGAGAATTTTTATGGTGATTTATCCGAGGAAACTGCGGTATCTTGCTGCAACATGGAAGAATTGACGGATGAAGCCAGTATCTCTGTGTAAAAAGACCAGTGCTGATGCTCTTTGTAATCTCACTAGTTCTAGACCAGCTGAGGGCTCCCAACGGGCTTTTGCGTCTTTGCCGCCGATCTCATTCCCTCTGGTTTGGATCGGCAACCACGGCTTGCAAGTAGCACAACCTTTGAATCCACGCAAACGGCTTGTAATCCAGTGTTGACCGACAGATCAGTTTCGGATGCTAGGCAAACATTACTAGTGAAAGGAGGGAAGTCCTTCGCAGTGAAGCCTCCTATTAGCAAACACGAACTAAGCAGTTACAAGTCAGTAGACAGGTAACCACACATTTCACATGCACATAGTCTTTAAAAACCAAACATTTGCGAGCGCTCTCTTGAACGTTCCTGGATATCCATTGACTACTACACGATAGTAAACAAACAATGCAAGGCATTTCCACAAGTTTCGTAATATACTTCAGCTTCCATCAGATGTAGGGGCACAGTTTGGACACCAATCATAGACTACTCGCATGCTTTATCAGTAGTACCACCGTCACCCTAGTATGAGCAATTAGAGAAGCTATTGCGGCGTATTTATGAACCGATTGGTCACCAAACGTCAACGTGGACTAGATTACAGGAATTTAGGTGCACCAAGCTGATTGACGACCAAAGTGATGACACAGAGGATGGTTCAGCTCAGACAGATTGCGTACTGATGCAATGTTGCTGGCAATACAAGGCTAGCAGGACGCCATTGTGCAGTTAGTTATCCAGTCAAGTACAGTTTTAGTGACCATAGTAAAAGCATTGGGATATGTTTCAAATATGTTCGTCTTTTCTAACCGCAGGCAACGACGGTCTGATTTTGAAATTCGACTTTTGCAGTGCTGTAGTACTCATCAGCAGTGGGACTAGGCTTTTCGCTGTTATGGCGGTCGAGTCATCCCCCTTGAAACAACGTTCAATAAATACTGACCTTTTGGATTCCGTGTAACAGCTAGCAAGTTTTGTCTCTCATTTGTCTCATCGTTTAATTCGTTGTGGAGTGTGTCTGCTTACCACCAGTATATTTGTGATAAGTTCTTGCTCATCGAAAATATAACGCGGCGTGCGGAACAGTTTACACCTTTGTGTCCAAAACAGGAGAATTGTATATACCTACTCAACCATGTGGTTTTCCTGTGAACTAAGTTTGACAGGCCTATATGTATGGAATGCGTCCAACTGTTGTAGGCTGGTGTCAGTTACCTTTCCATGGGTTGTGGCGACATTTGGATGAGGGCAATGCTAGGATGGGTTTCGTGCGCGGCAAAAGTGTATGGCTACTGTCAAAAAGGCAACTAACAATACTGGCTACCTTATACATTGGCGAATAGAATGGTGAACTGAACGGCAAGCGAGGTACAGCCTTCGATTGGCATTCGAAATTCATAATCTTACGGCAGCGCACACGATAAAACAGGAACAGAATCCGGGGAACTGTATTACCTGACTAATGAGCACAGCGATATCCGACGAATCCAAGTCACCAAATAAACCCTCAAACAGGACAACGCCCAGGGCCAAATAGTTAAGGATACCACCAAGGTATGCGTCCACTGTCGTGATACCTGAAGCAATATTAGACAATTTTCAAAGAGGCGATAGGGAGGCGTAATAGAAGTGTTCATTTCCTACTGGACTTAACAATGACACTGCAAACTACATCTGCCAGCTAACTACAGGCGAAAGACGGCAGCTGTGCGGAGAAAATACGCTCTAGAAGGAGACCTAGAATACGTATTTGAAGTCCTTCAATTCACACATGCTTAGTAATATATAATATTGCAAACTAGATCACAGCATTCCAGGGGAATCTTTTTATCCAATATCCTCTCGATTTCCCCTGTCTGGGCTTGGGGACTTGGCAGTATTCTAGCCTTCGTGCTTCCTCCAGGTGACACGACAGTAAGGCACCAAAAGGGTATTACAGCTGATCGATTATTTATTATTTTTTGAAGAGATTACGTTAAGGGGCTGACACATGTATTTTCTGAGAGGTGGCCTTTAGGTGGACGAGGAAGGCAGGGGACACAAAAGCTCCGAAGTAGTTTATCATTTGGAAGAAAATAGGGATAATGTTTTGCGTTGCACCTCCCTTAAAAGTTTACATGTCTTCAAGATCCAGACTGTTCACCAAAGCCAACGATGCTATCAAACAGCACAGTAGTTTCCATCCCCTCTACTGACTGACTGGCTGACCTTTGGTCACAGATAGACGTTATTCAATGCACTCAAATAAAGCATTTAGACCAGTGATACTAAATACCTCGAGGAATTGCCTAACAAACGCCTGCTCTAACCTCGAAGGTGACAAGCATTACTGGTCACTAGACTGATGCCCTGGTAGGTGGCGCACTCAGATCTAGCCAGGCTCCAGTCTGCGTAGATCCTATACAACGGTTTGGCTAAGTTTCAGCGGTAGGCTGGAGGTCGCGGGTTCGTGTGCCGTCCACAGGTGTGTCTTATGGTCTGAATCATATGTCCTTGGGTTCGTAATCAAAAACATATGAATCCGTCTCCTGTACAGCAAATGAATAGAGGCTAAGAACAAATATGAAGCATCAGTCCATACGGTTTACTGGAAACAAGGAAACCGAATGAATGGAGATCCAACCCTTGCCTGGACAGAAAGGATAAACGAAGACAGACAAAAACGAAAATCTTTTTTGAAACTTACACAACAAAATTGAACGCCGATTAACATTAACACCAGCTGCGGTTAGAAGACGATGGAAAGATGTGCGCGCAAGGTAGTGTTCCGAAGGTCCAACGTTCATGAAAGCCGCACTCTCCGCAGAAAAACGAAGTTGTGTGTGAATAAACCTGAGAAGAGACCGGGAAAAATCGAAAAGAATGGTCAGCAAAGATACCATACGTTCGATTTACAGTGAAATACACTAAGGGGGCGAGATGGCCCAAGTGGTTAGAGCGCGAATTTACTGACCGGAAGGTCCGTGGTTCGAACCCGACCTCTACCTCTCGACTTCCCCTGTTTAGGTTTGGGCGACCTGACAGTATCCCAGCCATCGTGCTTCCTTCGGGTGGCATGGCAACTAGGCACCGAAAGGATGCTACAGCTGAACGGTTACTACACTAAGATACATTAAGTGTTCATGTGGAGCTCACCACTTTGATACAAAAACCTACGGGGCTATAATATTGGGACAGTCCCACTTGTGTGCCTTGCATTTTTTTGAGAGCAAAATACTTTTCTGGGGAAGCGTGCAATTCTATTTGTTAAACATGCGATTTGAACCTTTGCGAGAGTCTCATAAAGTGCCACGAACAAAGGTAGTCGGAGTGTGATGAACGTTTATGGGCTACAGTTGTTTACGACAAACGCTGATAACTCAATGGTTAAGATGCGAACTTACTGATAGGGAAGTCCCAATCGCAGCACCTCGACTGCTCTCGTCTAAGCTTTGGCAACCTAGCAGTCTCTCAGCCCTCATGTTTCCTTCGGGTGACATGGTAGCTGGGCACCGGAAGGGTGTTACAGCCGAATGACGCCTATAACGACAAGCAGCGGTCCTGCTCTGAACCTCAAAGGGAAAACTCCTTGTGTTTGGCAGACAAAAGCCAGATAATTAGTAGTAAGCGATTAATCAAACGGCTGCTAAAAATTTTTTGAAAGTCGACGAACAGTTGCGCGCGTTTGCTGTCGGAAATCAAATTGTACGCAGTAGACGAAACAAATTCATTTGCAAGTTAACACTATGTTAACGGAAGACTCCACTGAATCCCAGCTGAATTGCTGGTTCATAATATTCCTCAACCGAATGTGTTGCACACACACCATCCCCTGTTTCAGTAGATACGATATTCGGGATATTGCAGTATATTATTTTTGAGTGAGAGACTCCACTGGCATCCACTTGAGTCATTCGTTAACATCAGGTTAATTTGCTACTAACTGCATTTTGCTATGAGCATGATTTTGGCCACACCACTGAAAAAAATTTTGGCAACACGTCCAAATATTGATGGATCGGGCAAGCCTATTGGTTGTTGATCCAAAATCCGTTTTGGACTGATCGGGAAGCCCCACTCATCTAGAGTATAGATAGAGGAATCTTTGAGTTTCAGCAAAAAATCGCTTTTAGTAGACACGCCAGGGCAATAAATGGCACAACTGAAAGACCTGCTAAGGTCATTGTGAGTCGCTTTATACACAGGATCTTTCCATCAACTAACTCAGGACGGAAGTTGACGGCCCGGATATCTACGGAACTGTCTGTGGTAGCCGGTCAAAATAAAGGTGACAAAGATAAAACTACACACCTGAAATTGCCTTCCTGTTTATCCTGTTCGTAAAAAGCCGCCGATGTCCAATTGGTGATCAGACGTGTGAGGATAAAAAATCCGACGAAAAGAATGTACGCTGAAACCGGTCCGAGCCAACCAGCCCTGCCAACAGAAGTTGCCAAGCAGGCATTAAATCAACAAAAACGACAAAGGTCAGACCCACTTCTCAACACATTTGTACGTATAAAATATGACCAAGATCGGATTGATGAGCATTGCGGGCACGGTTTGCGATAGAAGACTACAGACGGTGCCAATGTCTTGCGTGAGCCGTTGATCACTGTCCACGTTTGGTAGAATGTCACTCAACTAAACTAAACAAACTCACGGATTGTCCATATCCATAAAGTTAACAACGGTATAGTACCGCTTATACTGGAAATAATGTTTGTGCAAATGTGTTGTCAGTGCGCTCCGCAACGTTATGGCCAAATGACCGGCAACCATACCTTGGACGGCAATTACCTAAACGATGAATGTAACAGTGATAACACCAACGAATGATATGGAGAACACGTAAAGAATGGACAGCCGCAATGTCCAAATAAAACGAATGTAGCTTTTTTTCGTGAGTGCACTGTAAAACTCGGAGGCGATCAGTCCGACTTGATAGGCAACATATTCATCTAAGAAGACCAGAAAAGTTAGAGCATGCATAATGAACCCACAGAATGCTCCACAAATGAGAATACCTATGGCCAACAGAAGAGACACAGTCCAATCTTGCCTCAGAGACTGGTAAATTAATTTCGAAAAATTGAGAACAAAACGGAATCCTGAGGCAATCCTGCATGAAAGTTGGGTTTTCACGGAAACAAAGGAGACATACTTATTCCGCTCGGAGTACTGTTTGTGTCGATTAATCCGAGTAAAGGACATGAGCTGAAAGGCGAACGACAAAGCCATTTAGTGAAATTCGTATCAGCTAGAGATTCCAATTTGCTCGTACATAAATGAGTTTACTGAAACAACCACTGGAGACTAGGTCGGTCACAAAATGCGGATTAATTTCGTTCAACCCGAATGATACATTCGAAAAAATCACTCAGCACCATTGCGGTGCCTAGCTGCCGTGCCATCCGAAGGAAGTATGAAGGCTGGTTTACTGCCAGGCTGCGCAAGCCTAGACAGGGGAAGTCGAGTTCAAACCACGGACTTTCCGGTCAGTAGCTTCATCACCTAAACACTGAGCCACCACTCCAATATATTATCGACAATTCAGGCTCGATAGTGTTTTCGAAGCCCGAGAGACGTTTAGGGCGGAGCACTGTTTGCAACGGTTCTTTGGAAAGAGAGACAATCTAGAATCACATACAATCATTACCACCATCAAGGGCAACAAACCAGTTGGGAACGCGGGCGTCGAACCACCATACGGCCATGAAGTAAAAAGCTCTAGCAGAGTGGCAGAGGAAAAAAAGTGAGGACTTAGTAAAGACAAACCTTGCGTTCTCGAGGAATAGGGTGCGAACATCGTCAAACACCGACAAAACAAACACATATGAGCACCATATCGGAACAAAACACTATCAACAAAGTTGACCCAACATCCATGGAGTCTCACTGAGCGAACAACAACAGTAAGCTCAGTTAAGACCGTTCATATACAAGCAGTAAGGCATTTTCAGCTACCTGCAAAGAGAAGGTACAAAGGAAGGTACAAAGATCCCAGTGTTTATTTTGATGCATTTTTTGCATTCACGCTCAGCTCGCGTGGATGTTAGCACGTTTGATTTGACAATTTGCGTGCCTCAGTAACCCAGTGATCTGTCCTGCGCAACACCCACCGAGTCTCTACTACCAGGATCGTAGTACATAGACGTTTGATAAACAGTCTCCTAGCTTTTCTGGTCTAGGGGTTGCGACAAGTGCTCTCCTAGTTCTAAGCTGATCAGGCTGCCTTGAGGTCAGTAATTCAAGTCAAAGGCTTTGGCTGGAGACCCTAATCGTCCTAGGTATGGGCGTCCTGACAGTATCCCGAGACACAAGCAATGATGAGTTCCTATATTTGTACGGAAGACAATTGGAAAACTCATCATAAACTCTACGGATAGCAAGAAGTATGGAAACAAATGAAGCAAAGAATAACGACGAATTTTGAGGGAATTTCTCATTGATCAGCTACGCGTAGAAGAGTCAACCCATTCAGGAAGTCGAATGCTCCTTTGAAGCCGAAGAAAAACTAGCACAATTTTCGACGGCAGACGTGACATTCTTCAGGCATCGGAAGCAATGTGAAGGTAATCATCATCGTTATCGTCGGATTTAAACCATGTACCTGTTGTGCAAAGGTTATAGCCAACACAGTTTCGCCAGCTGATGATAGTGGACAATGAAGAGACACTAGCAGATATAACTGACATGTGAAACAAGCAGTGACAGTGTACTTCTCATTGAGAGGATGTGGAGGGTAGGCTATGCATCGGATATAACAACTTGGACATGTTACATACTAACGACTGGTTTAACCGTTTAATAGTTATTCATTGAACTGTTTCCTGATGTTTTAGCTGATGCACTGAAATGTTTGAAGATAAGCAAAGAATAACGACGAATTTTGAGGGAATTTCTCATTGATCAGCTACGCGTAGAAGAGTCAACCCATTCAGGAAGTCGAATGCTCCTTTGAAGCCGAAGAAAAACTAGCACAATTTTCGACGGCAGACGTGACATTCTTCAGGCATCGGAAGCAATGTGAAGGTAATCATCATCGTTATCGTCGGATTTAAACCATGTACCTGTTGTGCAAAGGTTATAGCCAACACAGTTTCGCCAGCTGATGATAGTGGACAATGAAGAGACACTAGCAGATATAACTGACATGTGAAACAAGCAGTGACAGTGTACTTCTCATTGAGAGGATGTGGAGGGTAGGCTATGCATCGGATATAACAACTTGGACATGTTACATACTAACGACTGGTTTAACCGTTTAATAGTTATTCATTGAACTGTTTCCTGATGTTTTAGCTGATGCACTGAAATTGTTTGAAGATTAAGGTCTATCATTAGGAAATCTTCACTCTACTTCTGGCTCAACCACTGGAGTGCACACCAATTTAATCTTGTAACAAAATACAATGGAACAACTGCTTCGCCCAGCTATGGAGTATGACAAAATCACCCAACTTAGGCGATTTACTAACTCTGGAGATCGTTCGTGCTTCAGCATTACTGATACGATGCTCCCTGTAGACTCGAATAATGGTCCGAAGACACAAAAAGTTTTTGACATCCTTCGTGCGCAAAGCCAGGTTCCCCTTCCATGCAACAATATGCACAACATTGCAAACTCGACCTTTGACAGACGAGGCACTGTGACGTCTACACCACAGATGATGCAGATTGACAAAAAGTGCCCACGCATTTCTAGCCCGAATGGAAATAGCGTCTTGAGCTAGGTCGTAACCACCGACGTGGACAGACTTGTCTACTAAATCTATCGGCTTATCCGTAAACATAACGCGCGAATTAGATCCTAACCAGTGCACAGCAATGGGCTAACTTTTGGAAATACCAGCACGAGCACGACTGTGATCGTTTGCGTGCCATATCCCGTAGGGTTTCCAACCGTCTACTAGCAAAATCAGCTGGAAAGGAACGCACGAAGATTCCACAGCGCTGTTTGACAGTAGCCGCTTTCATTTCAAGTTGCCATGTCATTGCCTGTCCCCCGAAGGCCTTTCGTCAACAATCGACTGGAAAACAAAACAATGCTCTCTTCGGCAGATGGCGGTTAAGCATACACAGAACAGGCCTCAACCACTTCAGCCTGCTAAAACGATTTACCATCATCAACATCATTATCATCGGAGACAACACCATCAGTGTTGACACATGCCGTACAACGACAAGGTTTATCTAATTACATTTGGAGATTTACAAATAAAAGGGAAAAGATAGTAGCTGAGGGAGGGGACTTGGCGCTGGCCTATCGTAAGCATGCTGAGATCCATAAACCGCAAAGCGCTCAGTTAGACAATCTGGAAAGACGTCGACAGCACGAACACCGAAGACATCTAGCAGCCGCCAGCCAAGCACAGGCGAGGTCGCAGGGACCCCGTCCTGGAAGGTGTACAACACCAACGACACCAAAACTCTACGTAATCTCTTTCACATCCTTCTGACAAGTCACGGTTTCCGCAATTCTGAAGAAACACTCGTTTCTATAGACGGTATTTCAGCACATAACCAAGCCATCGTAGTCAATAATGACGGATGCTTTCTGTGATTGAAGTACCTACTGCACAATCAAATCCCGTTTGCTAATCACCTCGTTACTGACTGGTTGACGCCAACCGAAGCCAGCAACGCTTTTGAGACATTTGTGGGAAGGAAACCTGAAGACGCCTCACATCACATGTCGGTAGAGGCCACGTCTCTCAGCTTACAACACAACCCTTACTATAGACTGGTACACGCGACCCTTGAAACTAAGTGATGTCTTTTTGACGCCACAACTGACGCAAATCAGCTAACGTGAGTCCTGCCTTTGAGAATCTTGAAGACTTCATCGTCAGATCTAATAAAACTAACCAGGTATGTAAAATTCTCCAAAAAATTTAGTGATACTCCTCGAATTGTAAGGAATACGTTCACATACTACACTGTATGAAGCATGATTTTGTAATTTGAGGGTACTAGGCGTATGCCAACAGTAGCACGATGGTCATCATAATATTTAACGGAGCTTTGTTGCGCCTTTGCCTTCAAAGACGAGGGTGATATCGTCTGAGTACATCAGATCAGCAAGGCTCTCACCAGTAACGATTTTCACACCCGGCTTTTGAAGACCTTCCAGCGCTCGCCTCATTATTTCATCAGTGAAAAAAAACTGAACCAGAATGGAGAGGTTGAACATGCTTGTCAGACACCAGTGTTCTAGGGAAGCTTTTGTAGAGCACAAAATGCACTCTCGTGCCAAGAACGTGAGTATAGGGAACATATCATAATCACAAACTTCTGAAGTACATGCTGTTGACCAAATGTGTTTGACAGCACTGTCGTAGTCCAGCCGTAGCACCCTTCCGGTGTTTAGCTGCGATGACAACGGAAGGAGGCACGAGGGCTGGGGTGCTGCCAGGTCACCCAAGCGTAAACGGAACCCAAGATGCTGAGGTTGTGTTTGAACCACGGACCTTCCTGTCCGTGTTCGGCCCCTTAACCCTTGTGCTATCCCAAGCCTGGTTAGCTGCACTGACTGATCGACAGAACTCAACGCAGGCCTATAGTCGAGAAATTAAAAGATTATGCATCGTCTGTACATATGGCTATCATGAATATTCTTTGTGCTCACAATATCGTTTTGTATTAACCATGCTTTCGTCTTCATTTTCAGCTTATGTACGTCTATTCTTAGACGAGTAAAGCGCTATTCATTCCACGCTATTCATTCTTGTTCTCGCGCTCAGTCAGAATCGATATTCTATTCGTAACAATTTACCTGTCTAAGAATACGATGGAACCGTTGCTGCGACCCAAGTGTTTCGACGCAGATCCTAATTCTCCAGACGCAACAACGCGTTGGAATCATTGGTTCCGAACCTTCCAAACGTTTCTGGTCACTGTCGAATCACTCAATCTGAATAAACTCGAAACTCTGATCCATTTTGTGGATGCATCTGCATACGTTTATATCGCTGACTGTCCAGATTACGAATCAGCTATCAGTACACTTGAAAAGTTGTACGTTCGTCCTAAGAATATAATTTATGCTCGCCATCTTCTACAAACTTGCAAACAAGACACCAGTCAAGATGTTGATCAGTTTGTTCAGAGGCTTGAATCCTTGGCCAAAAATTGTGATTTCAAGGCGGTGTCCGCTATTGACCATCAAAACGAAAGTGTACGCGATGCTCTAATCAACGGACTTCAGTCTA